TAAAACATTGCGTGTGTCTTATTGCTTTATATGTAGTCAAGTTATTCATGAGTTGAGCAGAGCCGTAAGTGTTTCTTCTTACTCTTTTCAAGCTTAAGTTTTGTTAGCATTCCAACTCGCATACTCATACATTCAATGTATTGATGCCAGTTGACCTGCATTGCATTATAATGTAGACACAAGTAATCAGGATGAGCATCACCCAACGCCTCGTTGGTACAACTGAGCAATCGAAGTCAAGTGAGCCTTCTCGCATTTTGGGGGACACATTTATTGCTTTCAGTCTTTCATCGGGGTCTGTCTCAACATCCATCTCAATTTTCGAAGGCTTCATAGATGGACAATCATAGTTCAGTTTTGAGACTCTTCTTGTTTTGCAAATGTTTTGCTATGAGACTTAAGTGTCATTTTGGCCAAGATATTTATTTCATTTTATCTTTATGAGAAGGTTTCTTGTCTTATATTGAGTTAAGTCTTCCTCTGAGTTAAGTAAGTCGGATCAAGGGTTTGCTCAAGGCCAACAATGATCATTGGGTGTCAGCCACGTCCAGGATATACACTCGGGGCGTGATAATTTGTTTCTTAGACTTCAAAGCTATCAAGGATTTACCAAACTTGACTAGGTAGCATGGACATGAAGCCCAGTCTGAATCACAGTAAATTGTTAGTGTAGTGTTCTTGTTGCTAGACATTAGAATTAGACCAGGTTGGTTCATCACATACATCATAATCCTTATAGCAACATCCATTTGAGAACTTTTAAGTTGTTGAAGAAACCGACTTTAAGTATTGACCCCAAATGATATATCATGTCTTGTCACAGTTGGAACCAATAATTTCCCTATCAGTCTTTGATATGATCCATGATCTACTAGTGGATCATTTGTGTTAGGAATTTTCTGAGCTTCTTGATCTGATGTGATCATCATATTCACTTTCTTTGCATGAGATTAAAGGAAATAATTCCTACTATTGCGGTTAAGAACCAGACAACCTTTGTAGCTAGAATATCCTTGACACAATATATTGATTTGACATCATGTGTTGAAATTGACTTATGGTAAGCGTATGACATGATTAGTTGGAACTTCATAGACGACGTTTTGAGAGGGTTTGGCTTTCCAGTATATTTTGTGAAATTATTCATGAAGTGCGTAACATCTACTACTTTTACTATCAAAGTGAACGGAGTAGGGCATGGATACTTTGAAGGAAAGAGGGATCTTAGGCAAGGAGATCCCATGTCACCATTGTTGTTATTGTTGGTAATGAAATACCTCTCCAGAACTTTGGGGAAGATGGGGAAGCTGAACTCACTAAAGGAGCAAATGATTCATTGGTATAGTAGGGGGAACGTACCAGCTCTCCCCCTCTGGTATTTATTCAGTTTCCAAGAGTTATATCGCTTTACATGGTCAGTTGCCTAGAGTGAAAGAAACAGAGCTTATATGGAATTCAATTATGCAGCCAAAGGATAGAATAATCCTATGGATTGCTTTCCAAAACAAAATACTTACCAAGGAAAGAATGACCAGGTTGAACAGTTCGGTTGATCACCTTACATGTTCCTTGTGTGAGAAAGATGAAATATTGACTCGGAATCATTTGTTTGCTAGATGTGGCTGGATATTGGATATAAAGGTCCGCTCTCTTTACATGGTCAGGCATGTACTTACAATAGAGGGAAGTAATACAAAATCTACAATGGTTCCAAAGAAGAAGATGGAAGAGGTTCCAAAAGGAAATAAACACGGCGATTTATGGTACTATGATTTATCACACTTGGCGAGCAAGGAACAAGGAACACACATGTAAATACGAGTTTTGTTATAGCACAGATCCAAAGGGTGATTAGGGAGAGGATAGATTTGTTGCACTGCTCCAAAAGAGCTCATAGATGCTCTAACTTAGTGTCCAGAGTTCGTAACTAGATTGTTGGTATGACTTGTTTGGTTTTTTGTTTTTGCTTGAGGTCTAGATACTTGATGCAATCTTCTTAGAAGGGGGTGGTGTTACTGGATGCTCCTTAATTCTTTAAATGTTTCTTGTTGTTGGAATGATAATATTTCACAGTTATTTCAAAAAAAAAATATAAGTGAAAAAAGATCAAGACCCTAAGCATGGATAACAATAAAGCCTCGACTAACAAGGATAACAATGGAGTCTCGACCGATAAGGATAGCACAACAACGAAGGCTCAAAGTGAGACAACTATAAGCTGGAACAAAAAGAGAATAATCTAGGTGAAAAAAAATCAAGACCTAAGCATGTATAACAATAAAACCTCGGCTTATAAGGATAAGAATGAAGACTTGTTTGATAAGGATAGCAATGAAAACTCAAAGTGAAACAACGATAAGCTGGAACAAAATGAGAACAATCTAGGTGAAAATAATCAAAACACATGAATAACAATAAAGCCTCGACTGGTAAGGGAGAATGAAACCTCATTTGATAAGTCGATGAATGATGCAAGGCATAATGAACAGAAACAATGGAACAAAGAGAGAACAATATAGGTACAAATAAATCAAGATCCCAAGCATGGATAACAATAAAACATCCTGATAAGGATAACAACGAAGTCTCGACTGATAAGGATAGAAATGAAGACTCAAAGTGAAACAACGATAAACTGGAACAAAAAGAGAACAATCTAGGTGAAAAATAATCAACACGCGTTAATAACAATTAAGCATCGACTGATAAGGATAACAATGAAGCCTCAACTGATAAGGATAACAATGAAGACTTGTTTGATAAGGATAGCAATGAAGACTCAACTCGACTAATAAGGATTGCAATGAAGTCTCGACTGAGAAGGATATCAATGAAAACTCAAAATGAAACAACGATAAGCTAGAACAAAAAGAGAACAATCTTGGTGACAAAATCAACACGCATGGATAACAATAAAGCCTCAACTGATAAGGATAACAATGAAGCCTCAACTGATAAGGACATCAATGAAGACTTGTTTGATAAAGATAGTAATGAAGACTTAGCTCGACTAATAAGGATTGCTATGAAGCCTTGTTTGATAAGTCAAAGAATGATGCAAGGCATAATAAGCCGAAGAATGATCAGCATAATAAGCGGAAACATTCTCCTTCAGTCTCAAGATTCAAAGCACTGACATGCTTAAACATTCCCTTTTTGTGAGGATTGCTCTCTAGATTTGCGGTAATATAAAGCAGTGAGTCTTTATATCAAATAAATAAACAACAATAAGTCACGAGCTTGAAATTCTAAACTTGTTGAATTCAATTCCATTACATTATCTTTACTGAAAATAAGTTCTCATGGTGTTGGCAAGTCATAGCGGCAAATAGGACAATAATGGCTCGTTTCTAACCAGGTTGTAATACAATCTCCATGAAACATATGGGAGCAAGGCATGCAAATGATCTTTCCACCCTCCTTCTTGAGCGCAAGTTGTTCAAGACAGATAACACATTCAATATCCTTCAAACATTGATCATCATCAATATCCATTCTCTCTGGCAACTCCATTACTGAAGTCTTAGTAGCAGGTACCATACCCCCATTCAAGCGCCGCGGTATTCCTTGCATCCTCCCATCCAAAACATATTCCATTTTCAAAGCAATACCAACAAAAATCTCCAAGTATTCACAATTAGTATTACCCACCCTTTTCAACACACGCTCAAGAATTTTATCCATTTGAAGTATCATTTGTCTGATGACATAGTCATTAGAAACCTCATAATAGTCACCCCAATTGGTGAAATTTTCTTTAAGAACACTGAAAAACACGTCTTGTGATGTGTATTGAGAAGGGCATAGTTTAACCTCACATGATCTTGTCTCAAATTTATAAAATTCATTCAAATATATGAGTTCTGAGGGTTGATTTACAGGTGATTTACGCCAAGCCTCTTGGCGAGCAAAAAGGGTAAACTGAAGCACTAAAGTAGGTAAATCACTCTTGATATTACCACTTCTATTACTATACTGATGAAAGTTAAATATCGGTCGAGAACGGATTCTAATTTGAGATGCATAGTGGTGACGCCTCTCTCCGAAATCAACCATTGAAATCGAAACTGAAATTAAATCAAGCAAGATTTTCTTAACACCGAAACAAATCCAAATCAAATTAGGTTTAGTAGATCTAGTCAAATTCGGATAAGTAATTCTATAACCATGAAAAAAAACACAATAATCTAAGCAATTTCTGGGTAAAATCACAATAGAGCAATCATAAAAGTGAAAATCAACTTACAGATTTGCAAAAGGGAAATTATGCTTTGTTTCTCTTCTTTTCTCCCATCAACTTTGATCAGATTTGGGGTTTCTAGGGTATATATACTCGTGCATATTACTCCCTCCACCAAATAACTGTATATATATTCTATCCTTCTTAAACCCCACTTACAAGATTTCATCCAGAATATTATTGTTGTTGTGCATTTAGTCCCTTGGTCTCATATTTATAATATTACAGGCAATTTTTCTGCAATTTGCGCGGTCATAAAAACTTATATTGAACTTGCAATTAATATCCATATATTAAAAATAATGAAATAAATAGGTTTTTAAGAAAATATTAGTAATATTAGACCAACATGAATTTGATTATTTGTTATTATCACATAACTCAAAAATCTCTAACTAATAATTGAATTATTCAGGAAATAATAAGGTAGAAACTTAAAGAAAGAAATATTTTTCACCAAAGGTGATGTTGTTCATATATTAAAATTAAGTTATACTACTGAAATATATATGTATATCTAAAACAAAGAATTAATCAAGTGAAATATTTGACATACACTCAGACCTCAAATTAACCATCATTCGTTATAACAATACATTAAAATACATTTTTTGTAGAATTACATCTCTATGATAGTCTTACTCAAATATTAATCGGTAAAAGATAGATAACATATAAAGATAAAATATTGAAATATTTATGGTAATCCTTATAAGTGTCATGTATATACTAAATTTCAGGTATGAATATTTAAGAGGAAAGACTATTGGTGACATTTTTTAAAAAATTTTTTGGTTAAATTTGTTTACAAAATAGAGTACGACTAATGAAGTGTCACTTTTCCCCTATATTTAAACTTTGAATGTATTTAAAATGTATTACTAATATCTGGTCATTTTGATCTCAAAATACAAACAACCCTATAACAATCTTTATTAATCATTTAATAGCACTAGTCCTATGTTATTATTTACTAAAAATCTTTAATTTAGTATTATTTATAATATTTTTCAACATTGTATACTATATACACAATACACACGTGCAATGCACGTGCCGTGAAATTAGTATTACTAAAAGTGGAAAAATATTAGGTTCAAAGTTGAATTATAAAAATGTCCTGTACTAAACTTTTTAATTAAAATTCTTTTATTAACTTTTAAAATTAAATCAATAATGACAATTAAAATAGACCAAATACATGGTTAGATGTTACAACTTATCATTTTTCACTTCTTAATGACTTTAATTGTAAAACTTTTTAGCATCTACAATTAAACACATACATTCACAACTTTTCATGTACACAATTTCTCTCTTATAAATTGAATAGAAAATGTTAGTACACTACAGTTTGTGTTTCATCATCTTAATTCTTAATATACTTCTTATGTAATTTTTATTCATCGATCATTTTTTTTCTTATTAACATATTATTTTGTTTCACTTCTTTCATTTTGTATGAAAACATAGTCATAGATATTTGACAATCATATAATTGAAGTAGGAAATCTTCTTTTTTTTTTTACCGATAAATATAGGACATCCCAAATAATTAAAAGGAAAGCTTTTACCTATACAATAAGAAGAATTTCTGATTTTATTAATCATGTCAACCTTAGTCTTAGGATTGTAATAAAGTAATTCTTATATTAGCATTGAATTTTTAACTAGAAGTAACATTTTCACCCTCAAAATTTTGTGTAATGCATCAATTATTCTAAAATTATTTGTATCATTTGAAAATGTTTCATATTGAATAACATGAAATATCATTTGAAAATGTTTCATATTGAATAACATGAAATGCACGTGCAACACACATGTTCGAGAACTAATATTATTAAAAATACAAAGCTATAACATGTAAAATTGAATTATCGTTTTGCCCCTATATTAAACTAATAATATTACAAATTATTTAACCAATCATTAAATAATAAATCATGTATCATGTTACAAGTGGAAAAGCCTTAAGGAAAAGTTACATTACAACAAAATGATCAATAATAATTTCACATTTTTTGTATTTTTTTCACAATTTTTATTATGAATATTTATTGCCTAAATGACTAAATAAAATCCTCACACCATAAATGTTGAAGTAAATTCCACATAGCCTCCGAGACAAAAGGCCAATAACCACTTAATATCACATATAATACTAATTAAATTGGTTTGTATATAAATTCAATTATGAGTTTTTTTTTCTTGGGAAAAGGGTCTGATATACCCCTCAACTTTGTCATTTGGAGCTGATATACCATTCGTTATAAAAGTGACTCATATATGCCCTTACCGTTATACAAACGGCTCACATATACCCCTGCCGTTACAAAATGACTCACATATAACCTTCATTTAACGGAAGTTAAAAAATTAGTTTTAAATTTATATTTATTACTTCTAATTTTTTTTTACAATAATTATTTAGGGGTATATATGATTAAACTAATCAAAGTTCAAGGTATATTTTAATTTTTTTCATACATAAATTATTTTTTGACTTCTTTTATTATAATTATTTGAATTTCTTATTCTTATTTTGTTTTTCTCTTTCATTCCTTAGTTTAAAGAATAAAAAATTAAACTATTTTTTTGTGTGTATTGTAATTTAATTTCGTATTCGAAGAAAAAATTTGGTCATGTACAATAAGTTTTACAAGAATATTAGTGAAACATAAATAAATTTGATTATCAAAATAATAATTATAAATTAGTCATTGAAACAAAAAAAAAGTAAAAAAAAATATGTTTGACGAGGATTAAATTTACTCATATGGGATTATATTTTTTAGAAAAAAATAATAAAAATTTAGATTAAAATTATTATTTTTTTCATTTTCGTTAGAGGAAAAGGGTATATGTGAGCCATTTGTTTACAAGTAGGGGTATATATGAGCCACTTTCATAACAAGGGGTATATCAGCTCTAAATGACAAAGTTAAGGGGTATATCAGACCCTTTTCCCTTAAAAAAAATATTGTTTTCTCTCACGAGCAGATGTGTTTGTTCAATTTAAGCCATTCAAATGTTAGAAACTAACTGGAATGACATTTTGTGTGGACAAGAGACGCTCATACATGCTTTTCCTGTATTATATAGTGTTGTTCATCTTATATTCCAAACATATTTAGAACAAAACTTTGAACATCTTTGTAAGACAACAAAGTTTAAGAACATTTTCACAACTAGAAAATTAAAACTAGTAGCGAAACTAGAATCAGAAACAGATTTAAAAAAGTAGGGAAAAGGGTTTGATATACCCCTCAACTTTGTAAGTTGGAGCTGATACACCCCTCGTTATAAAAGTGGCTCATATATGCCCTTACCATTATACAAACGACTCACATTTACCCCTGCCGTTACAAAATGGCTCACATATACCCTTCATTTAACGGAATTTTAAATAATTAGTTTTAAATTTATATTTATTACTTATAATTTTTTAAAAAAAAATATTTAGTGGTATATATGATTCTTCTATAAAAGTTCAAGGTATATTTAATTTTTTTTCATACATAAATTATTTTTTGACTTCTTTTATTATTATTATTTGAGTTTCTTATTCTTATTTTATTTTTTTCTTTCATTCCTTAGTTTAAAGAAAAAAAATAAAACTATTTTTTGTGTGTATTGTAATTTAATTTCGTATTCGAAAAAAAATTTGGTCATCTACCATAAGTTTTACAAGAATATTAGTGAAACATAAATAAATTTGATTATCAAAATAATAACTATAAATCAGTCATTGAAACAAAAAAAAATCAAAAAAAATATGTTTGACGAGGACTAAATTTACTCATATGAGATTATATTTTTTTGAAAAAATTAATAAAAATTTAGATTGAAAATTATTATTTTTTCATTTCCGTTAGAGGAAAAGAGTATATGTGAGCCATTTGTTTACAAGTAGGGGTATATATGAGCCACTTTCGTAACAAGGGGTATATCAGCTCTAAATGACAAAGTTGAAGGGTATATCAGACCCTTTTCCCAAAAAAGTATATGAAATATTTTTCTTAAAGAAGAATTGTTGTTAATGTGTCTAAAGAATCTTACTGATTCCAACAAACTTTGCTGAAACACGAAGTTACCAAGTTTAATGAACCAGTGAAGAACAAAAGAATAGAAGAACTGAAATTGATTCACAAATCTAAAATTTTTAAAACACGTACCAGAATCTAGAAAATTTTTAATAGGAAAAAGATCAAGTTCACTGAACTTACAGTGTCCCCTTAAGGAATTTATTCCCCTCTAGTATCCGAGGTTTGATTTGAAATATGACCTCCCAGGGTAAAATGATCTCAATCACCAGAATATAGATACCAAAAACTCCGGTGTCAGCGAACCACTCAACGACAGTAAAGTACACTTAGAATACTAGATTTAGTAGTTGAAGAAGAAGTCTATGAATTCTTTTTTATATTAAAATGAGAGGAAATCCTTCAATTTATAGAAAACAAATGGTAGTGTGAAAAGGTTAGTATTGTGCCTTACCGGAAAGGTCACAAACCTTTAGAAAAGTCACAATCTTTCAGAAAGGTCGTCACCTTTCATAAAAGTCACAACTTTCCATAAAAATCACAATATTTCATAAAAGTCGCAACTTTTCTTAAAAGTCACAACTTTTCATAATAGTCGCAACTCTTCATAAAAGTCGCAACTCTTTCATAAAAGTCGCAACTCTTTCATAAAAGTCGCAACTCTTTCATTTTCCATTCACACCTTTTTTAAAACCCAACATATAGTCTGAGCCAAGCACAAGAAGCAACAACGGCAGAATTAACCTGTCTCTGAGAAGGAAACTAAATGATTGGGAAATGACAACATAGCAAGATTTCTTGACACGATGAATATGGCTACCGTTCTGATAGAAGAGGAAGATAGACTATAGTATGGAAGGGGAGAATTCACAGTAAAATCTGCATACAGAGAACTCAATTCTTCTGAAGTACAGCAAGCAGGATAGCCCTGGAGGATGGTTTGGAGAACGGAAGTTCCCTACAAGGTTAATTACTTCAGATGGATTTTGGCAAAGGAGGCAATCTTGACACATGAGAACTTGAACAAGAGGAAATTCAGTCTACATCATCTATGTGAAGAACCGGCGGAGACGACTCCATCTTGTTTTACACTTCAAATGGACAGATCAATTGTGACAGATGTTCATCCATGTTGTGTGAAATT